CTGTGCTCTTTTTGACTTTTGGATATAGGCATTTATGGAAATAAAGTTTCCTCTCAGGACTGCTTTGGCTGTGTCCCACAGATTTTGATAACTTGTGTCACTTTTGTCATTTAGTTCAAAGAATCTTTTGATTTCCATCTTTACTTCCTCGTTTATGAAGGAATCGTTCAGCAGAAGGTTGTTTAATTTCGATGACTTGGTGTAGCGATGAGAGTGTCTGTTGGGATTGATTTCTATTTTTATTCCACTGTGATCTGAGAAGATGCATGGTATGATTTTTATTTTTTAAATTTTTTGAGGCATGCTTTGTGTCCTAGAATATGATCAATCTTAGAGAATGTCCCAGGAGCTGATGAGAAGAATGTATATTTGGTGATTTTTGGGTAGAATGTCCTGTAAATGTCAGTCAGGCCCATTTATTCTAGAGTTCTGTTTAAGTCCATTATTTCTTTGTTAATTTTCTGTTTGGAGGATCTGTCCTCTACTGCCAGTGGGGTGTTGAAGTCTCCGACTATTATGGTGTTGCTGTCTATCAATTTGTTTAGATCAAGTAGAGTTTGCTTTATGAATTTGAGTGCACCCAAGTTGGGTGCATACATATTTAGAATTGTTATGTCTTCTTGTTGAACTGTATCCTTCACCATTATATAGAGACCCCCTTTGTCTTTCATCACTTTTGTTGATTTAAAAACCAAGTTGTCTGAGATCAAAACTGCCGCATCAGCCTTCTTTTGGCTTCCATTTGCTTGAAGTATTGATTTCCACCCCTTTACCTTGAGTCTAAATGCATCCTTGCAGGTTAGATGCATTTCCTGGAGACAGCAGATGCTTGGCTTGTGTTTTTTTTTTTATCCTTTCGGCCAGCCTATGTCTCTTGAGAGGGTAGTTCAAGCCATTCGCATTTATTGAGAGAACCAATAAGTGGGGTGAATTACTGTTCATTCTGTTATTTTGTTTTCTCTCTTGAGCCATTGTGGAATCTAGCCTTTGATCTTTAACTTTTGAGTGGTTTTACATTCGAGAGTGTTTACTGTGCTGATCCTTATGTAATTCTGTTTTGAGTACTTCTTGGAGAGCTGGTCTTGTCTTGATGAATTCCCCCAGTCTTTGCTTATCTGAGAATGTCTTTATTTCTCCTTCATATATGAAACTTAGTTTTGCAGGGTACAAGATTCTAGGCTGGGCATTATTCTATTTCAAAAGAGTGAGAATGGGGCCCCAGTCTCTTCTTGCTTGTAGGGTTTCAGTTGAGAAATCTGGAGTTATTCTGATGGAGTTTCCTGTGTATGTTACTTGTTTCTTTCGCCTTACAGCTCTTAGAGGGGCCTCTTTAGTGGATATTTTGGTCAATCTGATGACTGCGTGACATGGTGTCTTCCTATTTGCATTGAATCTCCCTGGGGTCCGTTGAGCTTCTTGTACCTGTGTATCTAGATTTTTAGCAAGGCCTGGGAAATTCTCCTCTAGTAATTCTTCAAATAGCTTATACAGCCCTTGAGTGTTTTCTTCTTCACCTTCTGGAACCCCTATCACCATCAGGTTTGATTTTTTTTCACATAATCCCACATTTCTTGTAGGCTTATTTCTTTTCTCTTAATTTTCTGTTCGATCTCTGTGACTGACTTATTTAATTGGAAGGAGTTGTCTTCAGTCTCTGAGATTCTTTCTTCTGTTTGATCTACCCTGTTCTTGAGACTTTTCACTGTGTTCTGTGGTTCCCTAAATAAGCCCTTCATTTCCAGGAGATCGGTTTGATTTTTCTTTAATATTTCAATTTCTTTAGTGAATTTTTCTTCCAAGTCCTGGATTTTTTTTGTGGTTTCTTTGTGTTGGTTATCCCCTTTTTCTTGCATATCATTGAGTTTTCTTACCATCGACATTTGAAATTCTTCTGTTATTTTAGTGTTCTGAGTTTGGTTAATGTCAATTGCTAGGGACCTGTTGTTCCTCTTTGGGGGTGTGCTTTCCGTTTGAGTCTTCATGCTTCCAGAGTTCTTTCACTGGTTCCTTCCCATCTGGATCAGTTGTTCCTTCTTGCCTTTAGATTTTCGTTTGGATAATGACACACCCTGTTTAGTCTCTGAGCCAGTAGGTGGTGTTAGTGGATGAGATTCGACCACACCCTTTATGATGAATCAGTAGCTGCAGTAAAAGGGTGTGCAGAATGACCTCCCTGTCAGTAGGTGGCACTTGCTGGGAGGAGCAAGCTACAGTGCTGTTTTTGGGTCCTGTAGCCAGCTCTTGTTCCTCTGGAGAGGCCCTCTTGTGCCTCAGGAGTTGGGTGGGTCCCTAGGACTTCCAAGTGTGTCCTTATACTCCACCTCAGTGGGGGAGGTCCAGGAGTGAGTCTGGGTGGGGCTGGGTTGGGTAAGCCTGCCCTCAGGTCCACAACTGCTGTTAGCAGGGGTCAAAGGTCTGTTCTTTGTTTCTGTACAAAGCTGCTGGGAAGGGCTGAAATGGCTCCACTCAGCTGAAAAGTCTGGGCTTGGGAGGTCGGGCTGTCCGAGACCCGCACTCTGGAGCAGGTCTCACTCCCCTCCACCCTCCCCCACTCCGTGGCCTCTCCCAGGCCTCTGCCAGCAAACAGGACCTCAGGCCAATGGATCTCCCCTGGCTGTGACGTGGGCCGGGAGGTTCCCTACCCAGGATTGCAGCCTGAGCTGGGTGCACAGCCCTCTTTTGGGAAGAGGGTTGCCACTCAGGCACACTGATCAGTCCCTGAAGGCACACACTCCTCAGTAGGCTCTTTCACAGATCTCCCTTCCGTGCCCAGGGGCAGTAAGATCATGACCTGGGTGTATGGGGTCTGGTCTGCAGGCCTGTCCCCCTGGGCCCTGGAGATCAATCCCTGACCCTGCCAGGGGGAAGGGTGCTGGTCTCGAATCACCTACAGGATGCCAAAGCTGGATCGATTTCACTCCACCTCAGGATTTGCCCCAGTCTCCTGGAGTCCCCAGGCTAGCAGCACCTGAGAAGGCTGGCGGTAGGGAGTTCGCAGTCTGATTACCCCTCAGTCTGCCGTAGGGCCCCAAAAGGAAAGGTCCCGTTCCTTGGAGATGTCTCTGAGTGATGGCTAAATTGTCTTTCTGGGCACCCACAGGTAGGGAAGGGGAAGGAGAGAATGGAGCAATGTGGCATCTGCCAATAGGCTCGGGTCTGCGCGCTGGGAGGTGCTGCGAGGGAGCTAGGAGCCTGGTGCCCTGTCCGCAAGAGGCTCACTGCTTACTGGTGGCAGCCGTCTCTGGGCAGGTGTCAGCAGGTCTCTCCAAGCGCCTAGGAACCCACCAACAGTCCGAGATTCAAGGGAGGGGAAAGTTATCTGCTCCACCTACCCTTGTCGCCGTTCTCCAAGCCTCTCGCGGACGTTTCTCCTTCCAGTTCTCCTCTGCAACATCTTCCCGTGGAGTCTACTGTAGTTTCAGGCACCCTTCCTTCCGACCTTCACCTGATCTATGTTTTTCTGCTAGTTTATTTTGTTCACTTTCTTCTAAAATTTGTCTTTTTTGCAGAGACACTCTGACTGGCGGCTTTTCTCGTCTGCCATCTTGGCTCCTCCCCCCACCCCCCAAGCTTTTTAATCTAAAAGTTTTCTAGCTTTTCCTCTGGGGAATAAATTTTCACTGGAAGCCCAATGTGTTCCACGGTTTTGATGAGTTTTAAAGAGCTCTATGAGGCAGAGTGGCAAGAAATGTCTAGAAGGGCCCAGTATTCCTTCCGGAATCATTATTCCCCCATGTCCTTGCAGAGACTTAATTTTTGGATTAATTACTATTTATAACAGTGGTTCTTAAACATGAGCAGGCATCAGAATCCCATGGAGGGCTTGTTGAAACAAAGATTGCTGGGTCCCACCCTTCAGTATATTCAATTCAATAAGTTTAAGAAATTGCCAATGCTGCCAGGCTGCCACTTTGAGAATCCCAAATGTAAAACTTCAAATCCCATCATCCTACAAATTTCTGCTATGCAGAATATAGAATCTAAACAATTCCTTCATGATTTTCCTGATTTCTTCCCCTGTGGTTCCTGTACCCCCCTCAGTGGGGCCTTATTCCTCATCTTCATGTGCTAAGGGAGTCAACAAACTTCTCCTGGAATCCAGGAACTCCAATTTGGGTTTTGTCCCTCCTCTTCCATCAACCAGCAATGTACTTTCTGTTGTTTTCCAATGTCTTAGTTTACTGCCTATAGGTTCATCTGTTTGGGGGGAGATAATTCTGTCCTTCTCATTAGCATCATCCTTCCTCACCCTCACCCATAAGAGTACCATAAGACCAGGCAAGAAGAGGACCAAGATGGTGGAAGGTGGAAGTCTCACTATACAAGGGTAGAACACTTTGAGGCATGTAACTTTTGAAGACAAGGACAAGTGGACGGGTTAGATATATGTGTTAATAAACCTCTGGACAGTATTATAAATTAGATCAATACTACTGATTTCTTCCTAACACCCACAGACAAAATGAAATTATAATAAAGATAATTCTAAAGCATAGAGCACTTTGGTAAAGTTGTTAGCCAAGTGGGATGCTGGAAGAAAGAAGGGTAGCTTGGGGCAAGCTATCAAGTATGAGGCAGGCTCAGAAAGAGGACACCAAGGACAAACTTACCTTAGATAAAGGAGTGCCCAGCACTGGCCAATCTCTCATAACCTGGGCATTAGGTTAGTACTTTCCCATTACTATTCTGCTACATTATAAACTTGATTAGGTTTATGCAGGCTGATCTTGGAGCTCAATTACCATTTAGGGTGTTCTATTTAAAAAAGTGCTTTGAGCTATAGTCAACACACTTGAACACTTCAGACACAAATAAGATAAGAAGTGACTCTGCTAAGTTTATTTCAAACAAGAGGCACCTGAAGTTAATTTTTCACCCATATGACAAACAACCCATGTAAGCTCACTGGCCCCCTATGCTTCTCCCCTGCTCTAACAGAAGACCTGCTCTAGAGCCCGGCTCTAAAAGGCTGATCCAAGCTTTTTCCATGAGCAATGACTGCAGCTAATCCAGTTAAATGCTTCCCAGATAGCACTTCTAAAACTGGATCTCCAATTGAAGACGTTTTTCCAATGGGTCCAAAAGGAAAGATGGGCTGGGACATGAAGAGTACTCTTTCTCCTGATGCAGAAGCAAGAAATTAAGCCATTGTGAAATCCAGTATATCCTTCAAGTTCAAGACCAGGTTCTCTCCTCTCCAATCCATGAAAAAAAGAGAGCAGGGATAGAAACGTAATTCCTCCAGACAGAGCTGAGTATTTTTTAAAGGGATTGTGAAATAGAAACAGGATAACAGAGTTTGTCTACTGATTATTGAAAGGGCTTCTTTCCTAAGTGGGATTTCTGATGTTTGTCAAGGCTTGAGCTCCAGCTAAAACTTTTCCCACAGTGGGAACATTTATAAGGTTTCTCTCCTGTGTGAACCCTCTGATGTCTATTAAAGTTTGATCTTTGAATAAAACTTTTCTCACAGATGGGGCATTTATAGGGTTTCTCTCCCGTGTGGATTTTCTCATGGTGGCGCAATCCTGAGAAGTCACTAAAGCCTTTCCCACAGTAATCGCATTTACAGGGCTTCTCTCCTGTGTGAGTTCTCTGATGCTTCACAAAGTCTGAACTCCGCAGAAAGGCTTTTTTGCAAATGGGACACTGAAAGTACGTCTCTCCGGTGTGAGTTCTTTGATGAAAAACAAGCTGAGAATTCCTGTAAAAGGTTTTCCCGCACTCCCTGCAGGTGGGGAGCTTCTGGGCCATGGGGGCTCTCAGCTGCCCTTTCTGGGGGGCGTCTCTCTTCTCCTCAAGCCACATGGCGGGCAGTTCTGGGTGAGGATTAGGCAAATGCTGACCTAGTTGTTTCCCAGAATTCCTTTCTTGAGAAGATAGTTGTCCCCCTGGCCCCTCATCCTGAAGGTTTTCTGGGGCCTCAGGGAGAGTCTCTCCTTCTCCAAAGCACCCTGGCTCATCCTCGCTGAAGAAGCCCCTCAGGGAAGCCTGGGAAGATGCCCCTCCTGAGGCCTGACAGGAGGCATCCAGAGGTTCCTGGTCCCTGTGATTTTCCAAGTTTAGGTTCTCTTTGTCATTCTCTTGTCTATCTCCTAAAAGAAGAAAGAAGATGTGAAATGATTCAATGAATATTATACCTTGTTTTCTAACTCATATGTCAAAGCCAGGGTTGTCATAAAATACTCATTCTTTTTACCAAGAGAGCCTCAGTGAGTGAGGAAGAAAATAATCATTGAGCCTGAATGCCCGCCCAGGACTCACCTCACTTGCCCAGAGCTGAGAATTTTTAAATAACACATGAGGGCCCACGGAGTGCTTTTCTGATCCCTCCATTAATAAGTAGCACATATTTCTTAAGGCCCAGGAAAAACGAGTATTTTATATGCAAGTACTACTTTAAAAATAATTAACTTTTATCTGATTATATAAAAGATAAATATGATCACTGGAAAAAATTTGGAAAGAAAGAAAAGTATCCAGAAGAAAACCAAATCAACCTCAATTTTACTACCCAGAGACAACAACTATGAGCATATATTTTAGTCTTTTTAATTTAACCAACATATTTACATGTATATGCTATTTTCCGACATAACTGATATCATATTGTATATATAGTTCTATATCCAGCTATGTAGCATTTAAGTTGTAAATGGTATTGATCAATTTAACATGGATTCTCACATTCACAAGAAACCTAAAAATCCATGAAATGCATTAATGTGTAATTTTACTACGGTTGCAATGCAGTGAAGCTATAGTATAAAAGTGAATCTCTCAGTCTATCTTTGAATCTAGCATTTACATGTGCTTTATTAACTCATTAGCTGTTAAATTTGTTTTTCTCATCATAATTTAGGTTTTTGGTTATTTCCATTTAATGATGTATATGGTAAAGATTTCTATTTTGGTGGTAGGATTTTCAGCTTTTATAAATTACTTTACCCCTATAGATCTAAAAAAGCTATTTACCTCTCTCTTTCATGTATTAGTGTAAGACACTAATTATCTGCCAGAGATCTAGGCATCTGCTAGAGAACTAGAGCTGAACTTGTTACTTCACAAAGCCTTAGAACATATTCCTCTGAAATGGCAAAGCTACTTTCTCTTGTCTTTAAAGAAGTCTTTATAAATATCATTTTGAAGAACTGAGTAATGGCCCATCATAAAGATATCACAATAAAGACATAATTTACTTAAGAATTCCCCTGCCATGGAAATCTAAGTTATTTATTGTGTTTTTGCTATTACAAATAATGCTGTGATAAACATTTTTCCTCATAAGTTTTTGCCCATATTTCTAATCAATACCTTAAGTAGAAGAATTACTGTGTCAAGAGGCATAAACGGGCTCTTGACACCTCCTGGCAACCCAATTTCCAGAATGACTCTGCCATCCTCTGGTATGTGAAACTGGGCAGAGAAGGAAGTGAACAGTCAATATTAAGTACTGAAGTATATTCAATACTTAAATATTGAATATTTTTAAAATATATGCCATTCAGATGGGTGAAAAATGGTTTTTCTTTGTTTTAAATTTTAATTTGTAAGTTATGTAACGATGACTCTTTTTCACATTTATGAGTTATTTTTCATCCTAAGACTGCCGCCTATTTTTTAGTGGGAAAATCATTTTTTCTTATCAACTTGCTTTAACTCTTTCTATATTAACAAAACAAATCATCTATCTCTCATGGTCATGAAAAATGTTTTGCACCAATTTAGTTACCCTAACTTTGTTTGGGGTTATTTTCATATATAGAAGTTGTAGGTTTTTTTCTTTTTAAATATACTCATGTCTATGAATCTTTTCCTTAATGATTTTTTCCATTGCTTTTATACTTCTAGAAATCTTCCCCACCAGGACAAAATCTGAGTATCTACTCAATCTCTTTATTATTTTATTTTCATATTATATCTCTTTTTAACCTATTTCCAACTCATTTTGGTACATAATGTAACAAAATCTAAATCAATTCCTTTCCCCAAAAAGTCTTTTTTCCCAACCCTGCTCATTGAAGAACAGCTCCTCTCCATGGACTTGTGATGCTTCCTCCCTGAGCATACGTTAAATCCTTTACAGACCAGAACTTCTTTTGAGGCTCCCTTTTCTGTTCCATTGACCTATGCATCTATTTTTTTTTTTTTAATTTTATTGTTTTAGAGACAGGGTCTCACTCTGTTGCCCGGGCTAGAGTGCAGTGGCACAATCATAGCTCACTATAACCTTCAACTCCTGGGCTCAAGGGATCCTCCCGTCTCAGTCTCCCTAGAAGCTGGGACTACAGATGCACACCACCACCCTGGCTAATTTTTTTATTTTTTGTAGAGACAGAGTCTCACTATGTTGCCAGGTTGGTCTTGAACTCCTGGGCTCAAGCGATCCTCCTACCTCAGCCTTCCATAGTGCTGGGATTACAGGGGTGAGCCACTGCGGCTAGCCTATACATTTATTCTTATATCAGTATCACCCTATTTTAACGATTTAACTTTAACATAGATTGTTAACATTTATAGATCTAACATTCTTCTTTCAAGACTTTTTTTTTACACTATTCTTGCATGTTGTATTCTTCTAGATTAACAACTTAGGAATCATTTTACCAAATAATTATTTTAATCCCTCAGGATTCTGATTAGAAGTGTGGTATATGGCTTAGTATATGGCTTTTTGAGACTGACCCCCTGCTGGCCTGCTTTAACTATGAGCTGCTCTTCCATATGGTCAAACAAAACAGCATATTCACTCTCATCTGTGACTTTTGCCCCTGGTGTGAGTCTAGATCTGGCAGGCTGGTGAATTATTGTATTTTTCAGACCAGGCCTTTCCCATCTGGTTAGGTAGCTTCCACACTCATCTGGGGTCTCTTCCCTACAACCTGGACGCCTGCATCGACTTACTACAGGCTCCTCTCCTCCGAGTGTTCCCTTACAATCTGTCCTGCACATTGCTACCAGATCGATCAACATGTGGAAACATACCCTTTCTCTCAAGAACCTACAATCACATTTTTTTTTCTCTTTTGCCTATCACGGCAAGCTGGCCTTGTAGACTCCCCAGTCTAGTTGAGGTAGGACCTAATGGGGTCATGTCAGCAAGCGTGATGAAGGAAAAAGGAAAAAACAAACAACAAAACAGAATGAGTGAAGACACAGTATACTATATACCACAAATAAGATCTGACTGCAAGGAAGTATAGGGGAAATCTCTGTACCTTCCACTCAATTTTGCTATGAACCTAAAACTGCTCTAAAAATAAAGTCTATCCAAAAATAAAATCCTACTGCAACAAACTCTAAAGCAGTATTTTCAAACTTTTCTGATTACTACCCATAGTAAGTGCTATGAACTAAACTGTGATCCCCCAAAATTCATATGTTGAAGCTCTAGTCCCCAGTGTGATGGTATTTGGAGGTGGGGCCTTTGGGAGGGGATTAGGTCTAGACAAGGTCATGAGGGTGGAGTCATCATGATGGCATTAGTGCCCTTATAAGAAGAGACAAGAGAGAGCTGTGTCTGCTATGAGACACAGCAAGAAGACTGACTTTGGCAGGCCATGGGGCACCTTAATCTTGGATTTCCCAGCCTCCAGCACTTTCAGAAATAAATGTCTGTTGTTTAAGCCTGTGGCCCCTGACCCCACACCAGTCTTTGGCCTGTTAGGAACCGGGCCACACAGCAGGAGGTGAGCAGCGGGCAAGCCAGGGAAGCTTCATCTGTATTTATAGCTGCTGTCCATGGCTCACATCACTGCCCGAGCTCCACCTCCCTGACGGGAGATCAGCGGCGACATTAGATTCTCATAGGAGCGTGAACCCTACTGTAAACTGAGCATACGAGGGATCTAGGTTGTACGCTACTTGTGAGAATCCAATGTCTGAGGATCTGAGGTGGAGCTGAGGTGGTGATCCAGTGCTAGGGAGCGGCTGCAAATACAGATGGTCATTAGCAGAGAGGTTTGACTGCACAGAGACCAAAATAAATCACTGTCTCCCATCACACCCAGATGGCTGTCTAGTTGAGGAAAACAAGCTCAAGCTCCCCCTGATTCTTTATTAGGTCAGTAGTATAATTATTTCATTATATATTACAATGTAATAATAATAGAAATAAATGTAATGCATTTGAATCATCCCAAAACCATCCCCTCCCAGTCCATGGAAAAATTATCTTCCATGAAACCAGTCCCTGGTGCCAAAAAGGTTGGTGAGCTCTGGTTTAAGCCACCCAGTTTATATGGTATTTTGCTACAGCAGCCCTTGCTAAGACAGAAATAAATACATTTATATGAAAATATCATACACGCACACCTATTTGAAACAAATATTTCCTGAAACACTACCCACCTCTACATCTGATACTTTCTATTCAATTTTATTGTTTTACTTTTTTAAATGCTGGTTACAACACTACGAAATGATTTCACAACTCGCTAATTGGTCATCAAAGGCAGTTTGAAAAATACTGTTTCAAAAGGAATCCCTGTGTAATAGTATAATGATAAATATATTGCTTAAAATTAAAATCATGTGTCTCAGTTGATGATTGCTCTCTCTGTGGTATATTAGCAAAGGAAAATAATTAGATCCCACTGGGGAGAAAGAATGACTTGTTACACAATTCCCAGTATTCCCAGCCTTGGTCCTTTTCTTCCTCTAAGGTTCTGAGATTTATTGTATATGTAAAAGAATGCTGGGGGTGGGTGGCAGAGAGGGGTGCTTGGCAGTTAGGTTTTACATAACCGCAATGTTTAGAAAGTATAGAAAGCAAAGGATGACTGCTATCATACAAGAGAACAAGTTCGAATTTCCCTTCTTCCCTAGTCTTAAAATATACGATTCATATAATGTGTCTGTTGATGTTGCTGTGTTGGGTACACAGAGATGAGATAAAACACAGTTTTCTGTTTGTTTTATTTTATTTTGCTAAGGGTAGATTGGTTACTTTTCACTGTAACAAGAATAAGAGAAATATAGTTACTCTGCACCTTCTTAGTAGGAAGGTTAACAATGGCTGCTACATAATCTTTTCTGTAATGGAATTCTACCCATATCTGTTTTTCGTTTGTTTCTAAGAGATGGGGGTCTTGCTCTGTCGCTCAGGCTGGAGCGTAATGGTGCAATCATAGCTCAATGCAACCTCAGACTCTGGACTCAAGCGATCCTCCTGCCCCAGTCTACAGAGTAGTTAGGACCACAAGTGCACACCACCACAATTGGCTAATTTTTTTTATTTTTTGTAGACACAGGGTCTCACTATGTTGCCCAGGCTGGTCTCAAACTCCTGGCCTCAAGCGATCCTCCCACCTCAGCCTCCCAAAGTGCTGGGATTATACGCACAAGTCACCACACCCAGCCAAATTCTACACATATCTGTATTCATATCCATCTAAAAGATTAAAGATAGCAGATTCACGTGTGGTCTTCCTTCTGTGGTTAAAAATATGTGTCTCTAGCCCTATAACCAGAGACGTGGAGACCCAATCTTGGTATTCAAAATGGACCAGCCAGATCATGACTAGTTGTAACCAATGTAATAGAATACACCACTCCCACCTCCCCCTGTTACTTCCTCTACCACCTCCAATTTAATGACAGGAGGTCATAAATGGTTCCAGACCAATGAAATATCACTCACCTATGCAGGTGGGTCTTGGGAGCTTCTCGTTGACATGAAGGTGCAGTCCTGCCAGCTCTTCCCCGTATTCTGCAGAATTAGTCAGGTCAGGTCTGGAAGTGGAAATGCCTGCTACAGAGAGAGATAAGCATGTAGGCCTGTCTTTCAAAGGGGCACCCTAAACAGGAAGGACAATATGAAGGCTCTGGAGACCACTTAGGAAAACTCATCTTAAAACTGTGTGTGGGGCTTATAAGATACCAGTACCCACAAGATGACCAGGAAGGATACGAGGTAAAGGCCACAAAAACAAGAGTCTGGGTACGTCACCCAAAGGGCCTGCAGACCACCTGGCAGGATGGTGCATGACTGGGACCCCACCTATGGTTGGCTGGGGCAGAGTGTTCAGTAGGAAAGAGCATGGACTCAGAGCCAGCAACAACCAAGTTCCATTGTAACTCAGCACTTACGAGACAGGTAACAGTGAGCTTGATCTGATAGTCAATTTCATCATCTTTAAAATGGGAATGCCATCACCCACTCCATAGACCGATGAAGCTACTGTATGGAATGTACCCACTACACTTCCCAGCACGCGGAACACTTTCAATACGAAGAAGCTCTTACTATACATAACTCTGCTATCTCCAACTTGTCCCAGTTCCCAACCATGTCTGTATGATTTCCTTCACCTAGAGACTTTAAGTTGAGCAGACATTTCTATGAGCACATGGAATATGCCTAACAGTGTTCCAGTCCTTCCATGAGGCTAACCCATCCCCTCACCTCCTGAGACCATTTTCCCATAGGTCTCCAGCATGAGATCCCAGTATTGCTCCTTTTGAGTGGAATCCAGGTGTCTCCACTGCTCCTGGAAAAAATACAATACCATGACTCCAGGGAAGGTTTCTGGACCTGGTTTCCCTGCCAAAGGAAAGCTGAGAAGAAAGAAATGTGTCATGGGATCCTGGCCATCAGAAAATCTAATAAATCGTGGGAGAGTAGTTCCAGGGCCAAAAAGGCCAACAGCAGTATGACAGTCCCTATATCAGTATTTCTTGCCCTGGTTAGAAGATATTTAGGATTTAAGTTCTGTGTGTTTGTTGTTGTTTTTTTTTTTTTCAGGTGCACGTATTTAAGAGTGGAGAACATACAGAAGGCAGGAGCCTTTTCTATACTGTTCTTTTTTTTAACTTTTTCAAGTGCTTTTAGTAGGAGTCTTTGAACAGTAAGAGCCTGATATTCTCACTATTAATTAAATTCTTAAAATTCAAGAGGGAAAAGAAAGAAACGCAAAAGGAATTTCTTGAGAAAACAAGTGCAAATCAGTGAAAAGGTGGGAAGAATCAACAATGAAGTCAAATGCACTGGAAGCCTTGCCCTCAAACAAAGACTGGTATATCAGAGAAGAGAAAGATGTTGCAGCCAATACACACTTGGAATCTCCCGAAAGTTCTGCATTTAGGGTCTAACATAAAATCAGTTTTCTTCCCAGTTAGTAGGAAATTGATGGGTTCTCTGGAGCAAGGTGTTCCTCCATTATCCCCCAACGGAGTTCTTCTTTTCCTACGGAACTACAGACTAGAGACTTAAAACTAGGAATGCCACATAGCCAGGGTCTGTTTTCGTGACTTCAAATTTTAATCTCTCCACCAAAAGGCCAGCCATTAGAAACTCAGATTGTATATCAGAGTGACTAGCAGCCCATTCTGTTGAGTCAGATACACTGGGTTTCAAGTCCTGGCCTTGACACATTCTAGCTGTGTGCCCTTGAGCAAGTTACTTAACCTTTCAGAGTCTCAGGCCTCACCCAATGATAGTACTGAAATCAAAATATTGTTGGAATATTTGGGATAAATAACGCACTGTCACCTGTTTTCATAGCACACTGTACTCATCCTTCATAGCATTCATGACAGTTTATTCAATATTTATGCACACACATAAGTATTTGATTAATTATTGCCTCTACTCCGTGAGAAAAGGACTCTGTCATACTCTCCACTGTGCTTTCAACTAGTCCCCAAGACCCTGCCGGGGCAGAGCAGGCACTCCATGTATGTTGTCAGGGTGAACTAAAGCCCTTAGAAAATAGGTCCTCAGTAGACAGTATATATTATTACTATCATATGCAGTCTCTCAGACTCACCCCAAGGGTTTGCAGAGACAAAGGATTCTGTGCCACTTGCAGGAACCCCCAAATTGACAGCCACGCACTATGTCATGAATAGCCAGGTTTCAGGGAACAGAAATGAGGAGAGGAATTATGAAGTCATCTTCCTATTATACACAATATAGTACTACTCAGGGAAAGCAAGAGGGGTTGGGATTTTTCAGGCGGAAAGGATAGGATAGGAACCCAGAAAGTGACTTCAATACACTTAACTATATATTCAACTATTAATTATAACCACATATTAATATGAATTTTAATTAAAAATGTTTAATTTTTAAAGTATAAACTTGCTAGCAGCAGCTTATTTTGCTAATCTCCTGTAAATGAGGCTATTTTAACAACCTCCTGAAAATAGCCAGTTTGAACAAACACTGCTGAATGTAGGTGTTCTCAGTCTTTGTGGTCAGAACACACAGACCCTTGCTTCAGTGCTAGCGGTGAAAGGGATGCGAATGCCAAGCACAGTAATATCAGACCGGCCGGTTGTCTGGCTTGCTGGACACAGGGCCTATTCCACAGGCACAAAAACAGTAGCTACTAAGATCAGTACAAGGCAAAAAAAAAGGATACAGCCACCAAGGGTCACAATCAGCTCATTCAAAAACCAGAAAAGTTGCTTCAGGAGCCTCTGACCAGGGTACTTCAAGCTTAATATTACAAACTTACTTAAGGAACTGCCAAGAAGCTGGGGATACTTGAATAAAAACCCCTACTTAAGAGGCAAAACACCAATGTCAGTCATCTTGCCTTTTTCTCATATTTATAAGAGGAGGAAAAACCTAACTTTCTATTCTGGAAGGACAGAAATGTGATTTGATGGAGAAATTATCTCTATATTTGTGAGGAACTAGCACCATCTTGTGGGTCTAGGAGATATTACCACAACTGACTGACTTGCACAAAGTTATTAATACTTAAACTGAGTTCCTTTCCTTTGGGTTTGAAAACACGAGAATGTGAGTAAATACATCCCTGGAGTCTACGTGAGGCTCCAACTCAGTCATGGTTTCTAATAATGAAGTACTATTTTTCTAATAATTAAGTATTAATAATACCCTATCATTCTGGCATTATTCATGAAGTTCCTAATTTACGAAAGAGTTAGAGGGAATGATTACTAACATTTAAAAATTACATTTACTTTTAAAGGATTCCACTAGATATCAAGGTCTTTTTGATGCAGATAATTGTTGTTAGTTTGGGGGAGGGATATTCAAATTGGGTAGGGATATTTTTGTTTGTTTGTCTTCAGTGGTTGCTAATCAGTTAACAGCTGAATGTAGGGAATTACAGACACACACACACACGTATATGTGTATGTAGTTGTAAATAACAAATTGGTACTGCTGACAATATTGAATCTTTTGATTTTAAGTTATCGAGAACAGGGTACCTTGAAAGCAGCAAGAAGGGTACCCTCAATTCACCAAAAAGGTATATCCCTCCCTGTCACCTCCCTTTCCCCCTCCCTCAGAATAAACTGTGACATTGGTATTCTAGTCTTTACGTCTCAGACCCTCCTCTGAGGTACTGTATTGAGCACCACCTACTGTCTTCTCTATTTTCACCTTCACTCTAAAGCTGCGGTCCCCAACCCCCAGGCTACAGATGGGTACCAGTCTGTGGCCTATTAGAAACCGGGCCACACAGCAGAAGATGAGCAGCAGGTGAGGAAGCAAAGCCTTCATCTTTATTTACAGCCACTCCCCATCACTCACATCACCACCTGAGCTCAGCCTCCCCTAGCCCCAAGTCTGTGGAAAAATTATCTTATTGTTTTATTGTCTTCTATGAAACCAGTCCCTGGTGCCAAAAAGGTTGGGTATCTTGCGAGGCAATTCCCAAGAAGAGTTCCCTCTAGGATTTAAATAATGTTTCAATTAAGGTACATTAAGTTCCTGAAAATTTTTATTTTTACCAAATTGAACTTTGCAGAGTTGTTAACTACATGATCAAGATAAACCTGTAACAGAGACTTTTATCTACAGTAAAAATGAAGTAACAGAAACTAGATTTACCTTCCTGCCTGAAACTGAGAAAGAGGATAAAATATATGAAACAATGGTTTTCAGACATTGCACATTATGCAGAACAGAGCAGAATGAGATCCCTGAAAGTGGGGAAACAAATTAAGTGAGATAGTTTCCAAACTTACTGCCTAGAGAGAGGATCTCAGCAGCAACACAGGAAGGGGGAACCCAGGCCAAGCCAGGCAGCCTCTCTGAGTTGAGCCCAAGGAGCTCAGAGTCTGAGAAGGCCAAGATGGTTAGAGACAGCAAAATCAGAAAATCAGAGAGGAGGGACCTGCACAAAGAGACAGCTCTCGAGATCTACAGAGGGTCCCTCTAAAGTTTGGGAAATAACCACCCGAAAGAATCAGAGGAAATAATCCCTTGAGCTCATACAGTGCTGGGAATTGTTCAGATTTCCATCAGTGAGAGTGGGAAACCTGGTACCAGACAGACTATTCAGAAGGGTATGACCTCGGTAGTGGGGAAAAATTAATCCTAGACTAAAAGCTTCTCTGGTGCCATATAACAAACTATGTGCAAATAACTTAACAGCATCCCAAAGCAAAGCTCGAGAACATTTATAAGAATACAGAAATATCCTGTACCCAACAAGGTAAAATTCACAATGTCTGATATCCAATCAAAGATTACCAGGCATACAAAGAAGCAAGAAAACTCATCCCATAATGAGATTAATCAATCAAAACTGACCCAGAACTAATACAGGTGATAATCAGTAGATAAGGATATTAATACAAATATAACTATATTCCATATGTTCGAGAAGCTGAAGGAAAGACTGAATACATTAAGTATAGACATGAAACTTCTAGAGATGAAAAATACATCTGAGATGAAAAATATACTGGATGAGAATAATAGCAGATTAGATACAGTAGAAGATTAATGAAGACATAAAAATAGAAACTGTCCAAAATGAAACACCAAGATTTTTAAAAAGAAAAACAAATCAGTAAGTTGTGGGACAACTTGAAGAGCTCTACTATTAATATATGTATATATATTATCATTATATACATTCCACATGTACTATTCTCCAAGTCCCCAAAGGAGAAAAGAAATAAGGGAGACGGAAAAAAACAGTTGAAGAAATATCGCCAAAAATTTTCCAAATTTGATGGAAACTATAAACCCACTGATCCAAGAAGTTCAATGAACTCCAAGCATAATAAAGATGAAAATGACTCCATGGCACATCATAATCAAATTGTTTTAAACCAGTGAGAATATACTAAAAGAAGCCAAAAAAAAAAAAAATACATTATATGCAGAAGAACAAGAGTACATTTGGCATGATTCCATTTTATATAAAATTCTAGAATATACAAACATATGGTAGCAGAAAGCAGATCAGTGCTTGGCTCAGGAAGGAGAGGGGTTGGAGGGGCATGAGGGAAAGATTACAAAAGGCAAAAAGGGAACTTAAGAGTGCAGTGGATATGTTTATTATCTTGACCATAGTCATGGTTTCACAAGTGTATATGTATGTCAAAACTCACCAAATTATAAATTTCAAATATGTGCAGTTTTTTGTTTGTCAATTATATTTCCACAAAGTTGGCGGGGGGGAAGATTCACCTGTCCCACTTTAGATATAATCATTCAAAATCTCAAACAGACTCCTTTATGGGTGGCCTAGACTAGAAAATGAAGTAGTCTTTTCTTAGCATAACCCAAAGGTAATAAAAGAGGAAAGATGGCCACTGACAAGATTTGCCTCTTCACAGCAACTTGTACCTTCTTCCAGAGGCCAGATTCCATTATTTAAGATGACAAGTAGAAAATATTCTGGCTTGAAAGAAATATTAAAACTCAGGGGTTCATTACACATTTACCATAATTTGTTATCCTAGCTAGGCCCTCCTCTCTTCTCTTCTGACACTGTGTCCCCTTTCAATCCTCCTGAGTACTGCTACACCCTTGAAGCCTGGATTATGGGTAAGAGAAGCAGGGAAACCTAGCTCACCTGGGGTGCTGCTGGGAGAAGTGAGGCCCCAAAGTCCTGGTCTCTGATGAGCCTGTCCTCAGGCTGGGCAGGAAGCTGGGAAGTAGCCAGAGCTGAAGTGAGAAAAGGAAGTTTTCAGAATCTAAATGTCTTCCTTAACCGTTCCCCAGAGGGCACAGATAAAAATCTTTACAAATTAGAATGATACCTGCTCTGTCATTCACATTTGAAGAATTATATTTACCTCCCTAACAAACTCCAACTCCCTCCAACCTTCCGGTCTCACCCATATTTTCTCCTACCTCCACCTTCAGAACCAAAATCCAAATAGTCTGGCCCAGTCATAAAGTGGCTTAAAATACAGACCTTGAATCTCCAAATCAGAGTGGTTTATTTAGGTCTACCCTGTTTCCAAACTTTCCAGAGACACCACAATCTGAGCAACTTATCATTTCAACTCACACTTAGGACTACTAACCACAGTCCCCAAAATTCTCCAAGAGAGCACCACACACCACCATGAATAACTGCCCTTACCTAATTCTGGTTCCGTATCAGACTCCTCTTTCACGATGTGGCTCAGAAGCTCCCCAGGCCCTAAGGGTGAATTCTGAAGTCCCAACTCCTGAGGCATCACGAGATGGGGCTCCACTTCCCCTACTTGGCAGCTTGGAGATTCCATCTTCTCTGATAAGATTTCCTGCCCTAGAACTTGGATGCTGATCTAGAGACCATATAGTACTAATTAATGAAGGATCCAGAGCCAGATTTCTAAAAGATACAAAGCAAATCCTCTATACCAGATCATAGGCAGTCTTCAGGGGCATGGAGTAGAGAAAGAGAAAATCAGCTTTGATTTCTAGTCCAGCAGGATCAGTGACTCAGAAAGCACCAAAAGCTGAGGCCTGAATGAGGCCTGGGAGACCTTCAGGACATGTCACTAATGTGCTTCTTCTGGATAGTCCCCACAAATTGAAATTTAGGCGTCTCTTGAACAACTTCTCAAACATTCTAGTCTAAAGATGAACAGGATGGGAGACTTTATCTTTAATCCCCAATAGCTAAACAGTGTTGAGAGTCAGAGAGAGTCTTAGAATTAGGTGAGGTATGGGAAAACCCAGATGTGGTATAACAAGAAATATTAATACACATTTGGTCTTTGTCCCTCAGTTCCTGGCATAGAGCTCCTAAAACCCTTGTAATTTCCTGAGTGACAGGAGTAAAAGCATTTTTGTTATTCATAATGAGTCCTTTTCAACCATACTTGAGTTTACGCTAAATGAGGTGTCTTGGGCCCTTCAGGATGGGAGCTGGTTGCCAGACGAACCAACCATGTGATTAAACGGTTGGAACTTCCAACCCTACTGCCCAACTTCTGAGGAGGGGAGATTTAATCAACTCTGCTGAAATAGTGAAACCTCCATAAAAATCCCTAACTGATGGGGTTCGGGAAGCTTCCAGGTTGGTGAATTCATTGAGGTTCTGGTAAGGTGGAATGCCAGAAGACATGGAAGCTCCATGCCCCTCCTCTATGCCTTGTCCTATGCAACTCTTCCATTTGGCTGTTAGCAAGTTATATCCTTTATAATAAACCAGTAACAGTGAGTAAAGTGTTTTCCTGAGTTCTGTAAGTCATTCTAACAAATTACCAAACCTAAAGAGATAATTGTAAGAACTCCCGCATTCGTAGGTGGTTTCTCAGAAGTACAGGTGGCCCCTGAGACTTGAAATGGCATCTGAAGCGGGGAGAGGTGGTCTGGTGGGACTGAGCCCTGAACCTATGGAGTTGTACTAACTCCAGATAGTTAGTTTCAGAATGGAATTGAACTGCTGGACAATCAGTTGGCATTAGAGAATCAGAGAATTGGCTGTTGGTGTGGATACATTTCATGTCATAAGTGATATCAGAAAAAAGACAACACACCTGATGAGGACCCTAGAGGAAGTCTGTGCTTCACTCACAGATCATAATACTCTCTGCTTACCCACTGCCACAGTCTCCGGGGGTCCCCCTTCAAGCTCTCCACAAGGGTCACTGCCTCTTCTCCACTGCCTGGACACTGTTTCCGAACCCACATCTGGATCTCCCCAGGCAGGATGGTCAGAAACTGCTCCAACATGAGGATCTCTAGGATCTGCTCCTTGGTGTGGACCTCTGGCCGCAGCCACTGGAAACATAGCTTCCGAAGTTGTCTCAGGGTCTCATGGGGCCCGGACATCACCTGGTAACGAAACTGCCTGAAAAGCTGGCGTGCAGTCTCGGGGCTGGAGAGTTCCTCTTGAAGGGCAGCATCTGGTCCAGAGAACTGGGAGTCCTCGGCCTTTGCCAGGGATGGCAGCAGGCCTAGGGCCTGCCCCAGGTCAATGGGCATCGTCTGGCTGGGCAAGTCCTTTTGGGTGAAGTGCTTCTGGAGTAGAACTGTCTCTGGGGAGAACTGGGTCTTCTCGGGAACACTAAAAGGGAAGGAGGTCGAGTGCTATACAGAGGAGGAGGACAGACATATTTTCAGAAAGAACAATACCTGAGAAGCCTTGAAGTCAACTATGAATCTTCTGAAATTGCTCAATGAATATACGATTCTATTTTTAAAGACTGTAAACTTGAAGACGCAAAGCAAAACACTAATACCATATCTAAGCAGCCACCATCACCCTGCTCATTTTATAAGAGTCTCACTTGGTCTTCAAATGTCCAGACCAAAAAGAAGAATGAAATGTACCAAATGAGGCATTTTCACTACAGGTTTCCAGGTCAATGGCTCTTCTGCAAAACAATTCTATATCTGCATCTATGTATATCTTCATACTAAAAAATAAAGCTGGACAAAGACATTCATGCCCTAGGAATAAAGGCTAATGTTGAAATGATCAGATGCTTCCATAATAAATAGGAGCTTGAAGAAAACAAATTAAGACTTCTCGAAAAGGCATAATGGAATTTCCAAGTGACCTCTTTTAAGTGCCATGTTGAAAATAGTTCCATTTGAAAATTTGTGAAAAATGTGTCATACCTGAAACTTTCAACCTTGGGGTTAAGGAGGGTTTAGAACAAATACTGACAACCTCAAAAATACTCCTATGGCCTTGAAATACATAATCACTATTTTATGTGAATGGTATCAAAATTTAGAAGACCATACTAAGACAGTAAAAAGAGAAATATTAAATGCCAAAGTTAATATTAAGATATTTTAAAAGGATCATGCACTATTTCTAGTTAACTTTCTTGCAGGTAATTCTAATGTTGGATTATTGGGTAAATCTCTAAATGTTATGAAGGGGCTGAAGGTCATTATTTCTCCATAATGCTAATCACAACATCAAAAAAACAGCGAATCACTTGGGTGTCTGGCTTAATCACAGATCAATACAATACTCTAGCTTTCAACAGCTGCTTATTTCTTAAGGTGTAAGAAGCAATGTCCTAATCCCTACCACTTCACCCAAATAATGCACTACATAAGAAAATCATTTAAAAAACAAAAAAAAAGTAAAAAAGCAAATTTTCCAAAGATCCAAAAAAGAAAAAAGATCAAAAGGATTCTAATTGACCCTTGAACAACATAGAGGTTAGGAGTGCTGACCCCCATGAAGTCGAAGTATACAACTTTTGACTCCCCCAAAACTTAACTACTAATAGCCTCCTATTGACTAGAAGCCTTACTGATAACATGAACAGTTGATTAACACATATTTTGTATGTTTTATGTATTATATACTGTATTCTTACAATAAAGTAAGCTAGAGAAAAGAAAATATTAAGAAAATTATAAGGAAGAGAAAATATATTTACTGTTCACTAAGTGGAAGTGAATCATCATAAGTCTTCAACCTTATCATCTTCACATTGAGTAGGTAGGCAGGAGGAGGGAAAGGATGGAGAGGAGGGAGAGGAGGGAGAGGAGGGAGAGGAGGGAGAGGAGGGGGAGGTGGGGAAGGAGGGGAAGGAGGGGGAGGAGGGGGAGGAGGGGGAGGAGTAGTTGGTCACGCTGTCTCAAGGGTGGCAGAAGTGGAAGAAAATCATCATGTAAGTGGACCCACATAGTTCAAACCCGCGTTGTTCAAGGGTCAAATATAATCTAATATCACGTTTTTTATATGGACCTCACTAAATTTATTTTTTGTCTGAAAAGAAAACCACATATTTCATTCATATATTCATGCAGCATCCAGTGTGCTAGAATAACATATATTAAGTGCTTGGCAAATTGTTTCTGGCTATGGCAGTGTAACTGGTAATATAGACTAGCTCACCCACTGGAATCAACTACAAACCTGGAGAAAACACATAATGCAACTGTTTTCAGGCACTGGACAAGGCAGGCAAGAACGTCATCTCTGAGAGAAAAGAAATTCATGAGCCCCAGGATCATCCTAGATGTCTGCTTGGAGACAATTTCCCAGCCACAGTGCAGGTACTGAGCTTAAGCAGAGCACAATGGTTTCACTAAGCTGAGGAGTTAGAGATCAGAATTTGGAGCTGCTGAAGTGGCTGGAATCTGAAGCACAAGGCAGAGAGGGACCTGTTGGGACAGGGACAGAAGTATGAATGTGATTTCCCCTGTAAGTCTTTAGCGAAGGGATGGACTGCACATGAGCAGGGTAAAACTGCAAGTTTTAACTGAGAGAAGTTGCTACAGGGTTAAGAGCAAGGCAGAAACACAAAAGGCCGATCAGTAATGAGAGACACTGGAGTTTTTGACCATCCAGGGTAGAAAAACCTCATTAACACCAAAGGCATCCCAAGATAAGAAAAAAGCTACATGTTAGGAGTAAAGATCACACCCTAGAATAAGGCCTAAATAAAACCTAAAAGCAAGCCTTAACAAGATCTACAGGTGAGACCCAGCCTAGTGGTCTAGTCCCATCAACTTAGAAGGACCTGGGAAACATCTTGGACTTTCCAAAGAGTTGCTCTATCAAAGCATAAAATTAAGCCTACCCAACTTGAAAGTGATCAGTCAGTAAGTGAACTACCTGCTAACACAAAACATCAACACTCTTCAGAAGAAAATAACTGAACCCTTAGTATCTACAATGTGTCATCCATAATACCCAGGATGCAAGCCAAAATTACTAGATATGTAAAGAAACAGGAAAATGTAACCGAAAGTCATAGGAAAAAGTAGTCAAGAGAATTCCAAAATGGCCCAATGATTTAGAGAAAAGCATAATTTTAATGAGAAAAAAGATAGGACTTTCCACAGAGAAATGAAAACTAAAAAGAAACAAACAAAAATTCTAGGGAGAAAAAAACCCTGCAACCCAGAATTCTAAATCCAGGAAAAACATTCTTCAAAAACAAAAATTAAAATACTGTATACAGTTTTCACATAAACCAGGAGAATTTGTCACCAGTAGATATGCATTACAACAAATGCTAAAGAATATTCTTCCAGTAGATGGGAAACTCAGATCTACAGAAAGGAATGAAGAACACATGGTTAAAATCTGATGAATAAATATAAAATATGTTTTTTTATTCTAACTTCCTTTGTTGTTGTTGTTGTTGTTTTGTTTTGTTTTTTGGGTCAGAATCTTGCTCTGTTGCCTGGGCTAGAGTGTTGTAGCATCAGCCTAGCTCACAGCAACCTCGAACTCCTCGGCTCAAGCAATCCTCCTGCCTCAGCCTCCCCAGTAGCTGGGACTACAGGCGTGCGCCACCATGCCTGGTTAATTTTTTCTATTTTTAGTTGTCTGGCTAATTTCTTTCTATTTTTAGTAGAGACGGGGTCTCGCTCTTGCTCAGGCTGGTCTTGAACTCCTGACCTCAAGCAATCCTCCCACCTCGGCCTCTGAGAGTAGTAGGATTACAGACATGAGCCACCATGCCCAGCCTCTAACTTCCTTAAAAGGCAGCTGACAGTTAAAAGCAAAAATAATGACATATTACAATACAGCACAAGTAAAAGATTAAAATAGCACAAAGGAGAGAATAAATGGAATTAATCTCTTCTTGTATTATTGTATTGGTGAAGTCCCAAGTGAGAAATAGGAAGTCCCAAGTGAGAAATTGGGAAGCAATTGGTGGGAAAGTGTCAGGTGGGCAATGGGAGTGTAAAGGTGTTGAGAGGTATGAAATGAGAAATATGAATTGTTAAATATAAAGTGGTACAATATTAAAATAGACTGATAAGTTAAAGTAAACTTTCATAAGTTAAGGATTTATTTTGCTAGGTTTAAAAATATTATAGAAGAGATATTGCTAAAAACCTAATAAATGAATACCAAAAAAACTCAAAAATCCAAAATGTGATAGAAAAGGATCAAGAGAGAAATAAAAGCCAGAAAGGTCAAATGAAAAGTAAGACAATATGGTAGACTAAAACTCAACCATATCAATAACTATGTTAAACGTAAATGGACTAAACACTCCAATTACAAGGCAAAGATTGTCAGATTTTAAAAAGCAAGATCCAACTATATGCTGTCCGCAAGAGACATTTTAAATATAAAGACAGCTTGCTAACAAACAGATGGAAAACATATTCTATGCAAACAGCAAACATATGAAAGCTGATATGGATATACTAGCATGTGACCAAGCAGACTGGAAGACAAATAGAAAGACTCATTATGAGAAATGGGTCAATTCATCAAAAATATATAATTGGTGTGGGGCTATATTAATACTGACAAAGTAGATTTCACAATAAAGAGAAATAAAGACATTTCATTATAATAAATGGGTCAAATAATCTAGAACACATAAAAACCCTAAATTTATATGTACCTAATATCAATTCCAAAGGGAAAAATTTTCAACCATAGTTGGAGATTTTAACAACGTTCTCTCAGTAATTGATAGGACAAGTATATGTAACAAAAACCCCCAAAAAATCAGTAAAGATATAGCAAATCTGAACATTATCAACCAACTTGCTCTAGTTGACATTTACAGAACATTGGACCCAAAACTGTAGAATATATGTTCATTTAAAGTATGTAAGAAACACTCCCCAAAACAGACCATACGCATAAAGTTTCCAAAGACTGATGTCTTAAAGTATATATTCCCTGACCACAGTGCAATTAAATTAGAAGTCAATAACAATAGATATCTGGAAAATCCCAGTTTATAGAAATTATTAAATAACACTCCTAAATAATATGGTCAAAGAAGAAATCACAAAGGAAATTAAAATATATTTTCATAATGAATGATAATGAAAACACAGCTTATCAAACTTTGTGGTAAACAGCTGAAGCATTGCTCAGAAGGAGACTTAAGTTTCAAATAATTATGTGTTTAAAAAATGAATATACAAAAATCCTTCACTATGTAAATCTAATCTATTTGGCTCATGAGTTTCAAATAACAAGTAGCAAGATTCCAGATAGCAAGATATTGATCTGTAAACTTATTCAAATTTATTCAGTTCCTACATTATGGTAGCAGTTTAGGTAACATTTAAGAGAAATGACATTTAGGAAAAACTACAGATTTTATAAATTATTTAAATCTGATGTTAACAATTATTATGCTCCCAGACAGGGGTAAGAAAAATGTCCAATTATTCAAAATTAAATTACTTTATAGAGGGTTTTTAATCCCAATGACTTCTTGAGGATCTGCTCCCCCATTAGTTAAGAAAAAAATTTAAGGTTATCACAAATGTATACTTGTTATACTTATGAAAGCTTTAATAAACAGAATGAATTTTTAAATGTACAGTCCAGGTAAGTATACTTGAGATACACACATAAATTACAAACATGGCTACATACATAAGTAACCATTCGTGAAGCACCTACTATGTATCAGCACATTATTAGGCTCTGTTCTTGTCATTTCTAATTCTCACAAACACCCTGGAAGGTAAGTATTAAAGTTTACAGATCAGCTAGCCCAGGCAACATAGCGAGATCCTGTCATTAATTAATTAATTAATCAATCAACAAATCAGGAACTTCTAAGGCTCAAAGGCAGCAGCCAGATTCAAACCAAGAGAGCTCGAAAGCCTTCGCTTTGGGGAGGAGAGTTGCCAACGTTTGGTGATTTGTGGGTTGTCACAAGCTGGGGGGAGCTAGTGGCATTTAGCGCACCAAGGCCCGGGCAGTGCTGCCCATGGGAGATGTAGTCTCTACCACGCGCCCTCCAAATGCCGATGAGGGAGAAACCCCAGGCGTCTATCTTGTCGGGTTCCCTCCTCCTGAGGATCATTTTCACCCTTTGCGGGAAGCCGAGGGGAGGAGCCCGTTTTCGGTCCCAGCGCAGAGACCCGGCCGGAGCGTCCGGCGGAGCCCACAGGCGCAGGAACGCGGAGCCGGGTTGGGGTTCAGGCGAACCCACGCACCCAGGCTCCACTCGCAGCCCCAGCCGCCCCTCCCCCGCCTTCGCCACGTCCTCGCGGGCATACACTCCCAGGCGCACAAGCGCGCGCGCCCGCTGGCCTCGCCCCAGCTGTCAGGCACCCAGCCGAGTCCCGCGAGGACGCGGGTGGCGCCAGGCTTGACCCGGGGCAGCCGGAGACCGGGCCCGCCCAGCCCGCGAGCTCACCTCAGCCCGCGGCGCCGGCTCCGGGCGCATTTCCGGGAGCTGGGCGGCTGCGCGCGCCGTAGGCGGCCGACGAGCGGCGCGTGACGCTGGGCGAGACGAGGAGGCGGGGCCTAAGCCGGGGCCGAGGCTCCGATTGGTCGCCGGGGCTGCTCCGTCCCGCCCTGGCGCCGCGGCCCACCAACCTTCCCCGCCTGTCAGGGCAGCCCTAACAAGCGCCGCCGGCAGTCCCTGTCTTCGTCTGCTCGTGGGTCCTGCGTTCCTTCACTTCTCACCGGCCATTTATTTCGTGCCTACAGTGTGCCAGGCACTCGGCCAAGCTGTGCGAGTTCTCCAAAGAGCCATTCCCTTGTCTATTCCCAACCCCTCTGCCCAGCTCCACACCCAAAGCTGGAATTCTGCCATTTTTCCCGGGTCTTAACCCGCGCCTCTCTCCTGTTGTCATCATTGCCTCACCTGGCCTTCCTGGGGCATTTGACTTGCCCCAACCTTACTCTGTCTCTGCATTCTCTGGGTCCTCTTCTCCCACTTCTCCTCATTTAGTGTTGGAGTAGTTCATTGTGGTGCCAATCTCTCTTTCCACCTTCGTTTCTTTCTCTACCTCTTTCTCCCACTCTTCTTCAACACAGATGTCATCCTTGACTCTTCCCTCCCTTTTTCCGTCCCTTTGCCACAGGCCAACCATGGCCAGGTCCTATGATTGCACCTCATTGTCTCTCAGACACATCCCCCTCTCGCCATTCCCACCACCTCTACCTCAGAGCGGTTCCACATCATTTCTAACTCAGATGAGAGCCACATCGTTCCCACAAGTTCCTGAGCTTCCGGTCGTGCATTTCCAGACCATCCTGTGCTCAGCCACAACAGTCATCTTGAGATACTAAGTTGCATTAATAAAAGTATCATGTCCAAGTTTGGGAGTTCAATCTTGGGCAGCTGGCTAACAGCAGAGTATTCAAAAAAGGAGGTGTCACTGTGGTGGAAGTGTTCCGTCGCTGTCCCGTGTTTACAGCAATCGAAGTCATCCATCTCCTCTGGAAAAAAAAAAGCTGGAAGGAGAGGGACATGATAGCTTCATATAACTGAAAAACTGACCAGTGGAAAAGGAGTTCGACATGTTCTCTAGGTCCCAGCGTTTGAACAAGACCCAATGTGTGAAACTTCTATTTCAGCCTAAACTAGGTGGAAGTTTCCAACGTTGACCAGTATGGCAATGTTGCTTAATGAGTTCCCCAGGAGAGCATAGCCAATCTATCAGGAATGTTTAGAGGGATACCTTCATTGGGTGTTACTTCCAACACCAATGTGCTTTGCTCCTAAGAAAGTCAAGAGAAAAGGTGTTTTGGAGAGTAAGATGATGAGTTTTATCTTCAACATGTTAGATTTTAGCTGCTCAACATCCAAGGAGAATAAGAGTAATTCAAAACCTTTAATTGGGTTTTGACCCCGTTGTGGATCTGATGGAAGGGGTTTTGACTCCTTTGTGAATCTGGTGAAAGCTATAAACTTTTCCCAAGGAAGATGCATATACACATCTATACACAACATTTTGTATTCAAATTCAAGGAGCTAACAGAGTATTGAAGGCCATTCTTGGAACCCACAAACCTCAGATTGAGAACTCCAATATTGGTAGATGGTTTCTGATATGAAAGTGACATTTGGCAGTGTAATAATTTTTTTATAAACTGGCAACTTAGAGACATAAAATTTCCTTCTTTCAGAACAGATTGAACAACCAAAATACATTTTAAAAATCGGGAGACTTCCACCTCAGCTTAGGAAATAATGGAAAGATATCATATATTTCCATTTACTTATTCACTCACTCATTCGATAAATATTTATCAGATGATATGCCCAACACTATTCCAACGGCTAGGTAAACAACAGTGAACTGAACAAGGCACCATTCCTCACAGGACTTATATTTCGTAAGGGGCACTGGACAATAAATAAATGCACAAGTAGTAATTATAAGTGTTGTGAAGAAAATTAAATCAGGATAAGGAGGATAGGTAGTGTTAGAGATGGCATGTAATTTATATAGGATGGTCAGGGAAGGATTATCAGATAAAACAACCTCGAACCCAGACCTGAAGTTAAGAATACCTGTGGGAGCTTTCATGCAGAGAAAATAACAAATGTTCACGCCCCAAAACAATGAGTGACAATAAATAGAAGAGGTATGAGGACAGAGCCCTGGGCCACACCAGTGTAGGGTAAGGGAAATAAGGAGTATCTATCAAAGGAGAAAGAGACTGAGGAGCCATTGAGGTAGCAGGAAAACAGAGAGTGGTATCCTGGAAGCCAAGTGCATAGTGTTCACAGAAGGAGGGAGTAATTAGCTACATCAAATGCCAGTGATCAAATGTAAGATGAGCATTGAGAATTGACTATTGGTTTTAGCAACAGGGGAATCACTGGTGACCTTGACAAAGAGTGGCTGAGAGTAGAGAAAGCCTGAATGGAACAAGTTCAATAGAGAAAAGGAAGAGAAGAATTAGGGCAGCAAATATAGACAAGTCATTCAAGAAGTTTTGCTATAAAGGGAAATAGCAAAATGAGGCAAATTAGGATATGTTGCAGCATGTTTATTTGCTGATTGGAATGATCCAGTAGGGAGGAAAAATCTGTATTTCAGGGGAGGGAAGGGACAACTACTGAAAAATGTCCTTGAGTAGAGAAGAGGTTGATGCTGGAATAACAAGGCTCTTGGGTACTCGTACAACCTAGTCCATGTGGGACACCCACAGAAAACAATTTCTACTGATGAGGAGCTTATAGTCAAAAATAACAAGCCACACCAAAACCAAAACAATCCTTCATATACAGGAGATGGGAAATAGGATGTTGATTAATGGATGCAAAGTTCCAGTTAGACAGGAGGAACAATTTTTAGAGCTCTAAGGTACAGCATGGTAACCATAGTTAATAATGTACTGTACATTTCAAAATTGCTGAAAGAGTAGATTTTAAATGTTCTCCCCACAAAAAAAAGATAAGTAGGTGAGGTGATTGGTATATGAATTAGTTTGATTTAATCTTTTATAGTTTATACGTATACCAAAACATCACACTGTACCCCATGAATATATACAATTATTATTGGTTAATTAAAACTAAACTAATAATTTTTTTAAAAAATCCATCATAAGTGATAGTCACTAGTTACAAAAAAATCAGAGATAATAGAGCAAACTAAAGAGATTTTAAAATAAAAATTGTGAGTTGTTCAAAGAGTAAATAAAAGAAGCAAAAACCATAAAGCAAAAGAACATTATGGGGTAAAAAAAAAGAAAGAAATGAGGACAGGTGGGAGGGAGGAAACTAAATAAAACTGCAGGACCAAGTCTGTTTTTCACAAACTAAAAGATACTCACTTTTTAAATTAGAAAAAAGAAATCGTCTAACACTCATGATAGTCAGACACAGCAAGTATCTTTGTTCCCACGGCAGAGATAAGAAAACTGAGATCCAGGGTGGGTAAATACCTAACTCAAAGCTGCTGAGACATTCAGTTGCTGACCCTGAATTTAAACTTTGCTTTTTCTGACTCCATATCCCGTGCTCTCTCCTCTCTCTGCTGCAATTGCTCCAGGATAAAGTAGGGCAGACAGGACAAGCTTTCAAAGATTGTATAAGGTTTGGGAGAACTATTATGGGAGATCTACTATGAGAATTTGAAATTAATATAAGGATGAAGTTAAATTGCATGAGATTGTTGTGAGCCGGATCAGTTATTTCACCAAAAATCCTCTGAAACCTAGGAGCAGAAATTTGAAAAGACATGTTGAATCAGGGAGAGATTCCGATTGACTCAAGGTGAAAGGAACTTAGGTCTGGTGGAGGCTCTGATTGTAAGCTGTATGGAAACGGCTGACCACATGGACCACACAGGGAAGGGAGACAGAACAGAAACCAGTCCCAGCAGTCTCCCTCTGCCATCAAGATGTGGTTTGTATCCTGTTGACTTCAACAGAGCAAGGAATGATTTGACTCATCCAGAAGGAAACTGAATTGTCTTTTAAGGGCTATTTAGAGGATAGAGAATTAAACAAGATGGTAATTTCTTTTCTGGTTAGGAGAAGTCCTAACAACATGTCACTTGCCTCATGTGAGATGTCCCAAAGGAGATCTTTAAGATGTTCAAGAACATTGAGGTGGGGCTGGGAAATAACTTCCTGTAGTGCCTACAGGTGACACAGGGCACCACAAACCTGGCTTGAGTCCTAAAGTTCACATCTTTTTAACTAGTTTTAACTAAACTAACCCTACCAGAATGGACATGTAGTTTTAAGTTTCCTGCAAAGGAATCTCAGTTTGAAGATAACAGTAATAACGCAGGCACAAGTCATCAACAAGAAAATGGCAGAACTATACTTCTAACTTGAGCCCTTTTTCAGATATGTTGGGAAGTAATGACAATGTCAACCTAATCAGATCCGACCAAAGTCAAGCAAAATAATTTCAAATATTAAGAAGTCTACTAGAAATGTCCATTTATATCTACTGTCACTAATGATGAATGTCACCTTAACTATATATGTATATTTACGTATGTGTATTTACACTCGTATATATATACTAAATGTAAATATATGTGTATGCTTATATATGTGTGTGTATATATTTGTACCTGTATATGTTATATACTTTAATGATATATGCATGTATGTGTGATATGTGTGTATATATACAGATTTTATATATATACAGATTATATATACACAGATACTATATATATTTTTTTCAGAATGTGAAGAAAATTCTTTCAACCAAGTTTAAGGTCATATAATATTCTATCAAGTACTTTATAAAACCTCATTAAATGTAATGAGAAATGTTTGGCAGCCTCTTTTAAGGTCCTGATTAATGAAAATTAATACGTAAAATTTTAGTGCTTTTCATTGTAAGCCCATTGATTAAAAATTATTAAAATGCAATGTATTTTCCAATTAGTTCGCAAGAGCTACAGATTCACATCAGGAACTATGGAAATTAGTAGCTACATTTCATCAAAAATTTTTGCTTACTTAGTAAATGGTATTTAAAAATGAATATCATTATTTAGTA